CATAAATCCTTCGGGATTTTGATATATCCTGCGGTCTACGAGCCGCGGGTGAAGTTTTGCTCTTTTGCCCTCTGCTCTATTCCTTCCCCTTTCGTCCTCTATTTCAGCAGGTGGTTTGTTGGTGTGGTGGTCGTGTTCCTTACTTGACATTTAGAATCGTAAAACAGCTATTCGGAGCATTCAAGAATTCCGCACTGCCTTGGACTTCTCCTCCAAACATCAGTAAGGGTTTCTTTCTTTTAGACAAATAGATATTAGATACACCCATAATACTGCTACGTTTAGTAGCGCAGACATAATGAATGATGTGCAATAATACTTGGCTTCTCCTCCATCATATCATTCATAGCAAACTGCCGAGATTCTATCATGCTCAACCTCCACAGTCAAGTCCCACCCACGTTCCAATTAGCACGGAGTGCCGAACCCCCCTCTGCCGTGTGCTCCACGGTTGCCGCGACTCCGATTTCCACCTCGGTAGCCCCTTGAACCACCGCCAGCGCTGCCTGGGTAATGTCCCATTCCACGACCTCTTCCGGCGGCGTGGTGACCACCCCCCTGATGGCCAGCGCTGCCTCGGTGATGTCCTGTTCCACGACCTCTTCCGGCGGCGTGGTGACCACCTCGTGCGCTGACCTGATTCATGTCGCTGCCAGTAATCCATGTGCGTAGCTGGAACAGGCTAGTGGTTGTTGTCTCCCCTTGCAGGGCTTTGCACCAGTCTTCCACGTCGACCAGTTGCCTTTGCCGAAACAAACTCATATTCAGCAAGCCGAACTCCTTGATGTCGCGCCACCAGCCTCCAAAATTGCCGAACATTATCAAGTACTCCTGGGCACGTGTAATGGCGACGTTGAGCGGCTTCGGCCTCGCAATGAAGAAGACGTTGCTCGGATCCTGCGGCTTGTTGGTGACGAATGAAAGCAACACGATCTTGTTTTCGCGAGAATGCACCGTGGCCGTGGTCATTACTGCTATCTTGCCACGTGCCTCGGGAATCTGACTGTAGATCATAAGATTGAGAAGTCGTCTCTGGCCGGTGTATGGAGTAATGACGAGGATTTCTTCGGGGTTGATTATCCTCTCCGGTAATAGTTTGACATCGGTCACAGTCGTATCCACAGAAGTCGGCACGAAAGCGAGGAGTGCCTTGATTGTCTCAACAACAGCTTCCGCCTCAGTCTCGTTGAAAGACGAGGTTGTGTTCTCAAACAGTTCAGAACCGACGATTCTGCTCTGATCAAGCGTCGAAGAAACATCGACAGCAATGCGGTGTTGCATCGGATTGAAGAAGCTGTCGCCAATTCTCTTGGTTATCGTCCTGATCGAGTTTTCGAGCTCGTGGTCAATGTCCGCTTTGCAGACGAGTTTGCCCTTGTAGAACTCCTCGGATGGGAATTTCATGATGTGAGGATGCATGCGGTAGCAATCGTTGAGCATGAATTGCTCAACATTGCTTTCTTCTAGTGCATCAAAGATTGACTTGGACACAATCTGAGCCGCCTATGGTTGTGAAAGAAAGACGGATCCCTAGGGAGACGCCGAACCGAGCCGTAGCCGGTGGTCACAGGCACGCCTGAAGCCGAGCTGTGACGAAGAGAGAAAGTTTCCACCAGAGACAAAGTTCCGGTGTTCGTCTGCGGGAGCAGACCTGCAGGGGCCGAAGCCACGCTGCCAAAGCGCGAGGAGGGAACGAGGACACCGGAGCCGAAACCAGCGAGAGCTGGCGAAGCGAGAGGACGAAAAACCTTATCACCAACGAATTGGCAATAAGGCGACGTCGGAAAGGTGTGGTGTAGAGGAAGGGAAGAGAGCGAGAGGTGGAAGAAGATTTGGGTATTTGTGCGAAAGACGGCGCTAACCCCGATTCATGCGAGAGGAAGGAAGAGGCAGGAAGTGATGGGCGTGCTTTCCGCCTTCCACCACTCAAGCCCTTCCTCCAGTTTGTAAGTCGTGGCACACGTGGCCACGACAGCTCCCTGTGACTCTACGCGAAGGACTTGGTGGAATCTAGTACCAAGTGCGTGAGGCGCTTGAACGCTCCCTGCATGCGTATACCTTTATATGGCAACTTTCTACTACATGTACTCTACGGTCGCTTCTACTTTGCCGCTGACTCTTGGCCGAGCTTCCATGTGTACCACGACTTTTGCTAACAGGCCTCGGAGAGAGGGTGAGAGAGGGAGAGACGAAAACGGAACCAGATAAACCAGCGCGGTATGGCAAAACGGAGGTTGGCGCAGCACAGCACAGTGGGCGACGAAAGAAAATACTCACCAAGGAGGTTGTCGTCGCAAGTCATAGTACGCGAGCCCACGACAACTCCTTGTGACCATAATTTAAGAGTGCACTTCCTCCATCTTTTGCATGCTGGGAGCTCGAATGTTTCAATTCCACCTTCCACCACCCAATCCCCTACTCCGGCTTGTATTCGTTCCTGAGTTTCGACGGACGTGGGTAAAACCACCTTCCTTTGCGCGGGCGAAGAGCCATGTCCCTGCTCATTCCCATCGGCGTGTAAAAGTTCTTCTTCCTCGGAACGTCCGCATCCCATGACTTCTTCAAGCCCTTGCAGCCGCGCGGCAACTGTGGCAGCTTGATCTTTCTTCCTGTAGCTCCCTCCGGCGCATGGTCGTCGTACTCGTTCGAAACAAAGTACCAGCCCTGCGTGATGGCCATGTTGATACAAGCATACTTTCTGGCGACTTTTCCTATGCCTGCATCGAAGCCCTTCTTCTTGCACACGGCTGCCTTAAGATCAAGGTATTCGTCGACGAAGTCGGCATTGCTGGCCCAGGCGCAGATCTCGGGTGGCGTGGAGCACCTTTCCGGCATCAGGGAGGGTGAAAGGCGAGCTACAAGACCTGTTAGCGTCTGTATCTGTCTTGGCAGTATTGTGTTTACGAACTTTTGATTTGACCAAGCTCTCCGTGTGCTGCCTCACCGCTGAGTCTGCGTCGCTTTGATTTTTCTCCGTCCGCCACTTGATCCGGGCCCGACATCTTCGGCGACCACGGCGACCGCTTTCGAGCTTTCTCCTTCCGCCGCATGGACTAAAAGATGTCAGCATTGCGTTGAGTTCTTTTGATGATTTCGTTACCTTGACAGCAGCAGTGTAGAGGGCCAGTAACCAGTGGCGGACGGCGGACAGTGAACGGTGGAAGGTGGACGCCGTTCTGGTCAGGATGGCGGGCCCAGCCAGACGTCCCGCGAAAGACGTTCGAGTTCTTGGTCGACGAGTCCGTGGAGCCAGACTCGCCAGCTTGGAATGAAGATGCCCATGCGTTCGACTAAGCGCCGCGCGGTAGGATTTTGAAAGTGAACGCCGAGACCTGAGTACTTCCAAAGCCAGCATCATTGGCAAGCACAAAAATACACACAGTACTTCTTCATCCTCTAAGCTGAAGCTGCCTTGAGCAGCCTACGCAGGAGCTACTTGCACCAAGGCTTCTGCTAGACTTGGCGCCCTTTTGGTATCTTTCACCTCAGGCACTGCGACTTTCATTCACATGATCGTCGCCTGTCTGTCCAATGTCATCTCTGGTCTTGGATGTCGTAAGAAACTTCTGTTCCAGTTTCCCTGGCACTGGCATGTGGACTGGAGACTGCATACTTACTGTAATGGGTAGAGACTGTGGCAGGCAGCCTTGGCTCCCTCCTTTGGAATTCATGCAAAGCAAACAAAAGATCAGATTTTGAGATTCTGCTACCCCCAACTCCATGAACAGAGAAAAAGGGCAACACTCGAAGCATCCAGGAGGTCCCCGGAAGTTCTGCATGATTCCTCCCTTTGCAGTCATCACAACCGGTTGCCTCAAAGCAATCAGTGTAGACAGAAGTCGGTGGGAGCTTTTCCGAGCGGGACGTTGTGCTTAAGTATTCTTCTGCTGACATTTTGTTTCCCCCACTTTTTCTGTTTGTATTTGGTGCAAAGCTGCGCCCCAGCCAGCTTGATTCCGCTCAACTCTAGCACATTCGCTTGCGCCCATGTCTTTTTTCTCTGGAATCGAAGACCTTCCGGACAAGCGACGGCATCCGAAAAAGCTCTTGTAGAAATTTCCCACCTCAGACTCACGATGTTTCGACGTTGGATAAATGTCAGGCGATTCAGGGCCTGAGAAAACAAGCGGTTGACAGACCCCGCACGTTGCAATTTCATCCGCACATAATGTCAAACCACCGCTACCACCACATAGCAGCGTACCACAAAAAAGGGTCGGTGGTGTAGTGGTAACATGTGCCGCGGCTACAGTCTTTCCCGCGGCAAGTCCTAGGTTCAATTCCTGGCTGACCTGCTCTCTGACTGCAAACTTTTTGCCGCTTCTTCTTTTTGCTGTGTGGGAAGTTTGGTAGCGAAGCACATCCCCTGAGGAAGGAGTCATCATGGGAAAGATGTGGCCGGTAAAGGGGGCGGAGCTGTCGTTTTCTGCAAGCCGCAAGCTCCGTGCTGCGAGTGAGAATTTGATGTTGTAACAGAGCGAGTCTGAGCAACTATGGGCCTGCGAGTGTTGGTGGCAAACGTCGAGCATACGCGACGGACCAGAGAAAGCGAGCAAGACGTTTGCAAGATCCCAGATGTGCATGACCGAGCTTCCTTGGTCGGTATTTCCTTGATGGTGAAGAAAGGGAGCATCGAATTACAGTTAGATATCCTGAGAGTGCAGAGGGCAATCGAAGTTGCGTGTTATTTTTTGCAAAGGAGCCAAGCCAGGAGAACGGCGACTCGGGGTCGGGAACATCGTGGATAAGACGAGGGGATCGCGATGCCATAGGAAAAAGTTACATTGCCGGGATGCGGCAGTCTTTGTTGTGTGCTGTGTGCTGTCAGAATGAGCGGGCCAAATCGTGCCACAGCACATTCAGGGCCTCAAACTCCAGGGACGCGGGCAGCCTGAATTCAGGGAGTGACATTTCTGACATGGGGATGGCAGATGACAGACAAAAAGCTTGATATAAACCGTTGCAGCCGCTTCCATAGTACACAGCGATCCCACTCAAAAGGGTTGGTGGTGTAGTGGTAACGCATGCTAGCGGCTATCCGTCGCTTCCGCTAGCAAGTCCCAGGTTCGAGTCCTGGCCGACCTGCAAGATTCTGTGAAACTTTTTTTGTCTTTTTTTTCTTCTTTTTGGGCGTGTGGTGGCATGGTACCGAGCATGATGGATCCGTGGGTCGAGGTGCGGGATGGGTCACGCGTCAGGGCGTTGTCTGTGTGCTGTGTATCCGAGCTTGGAGTCACGCTGAAGTATGTTGGGCGTGCTTTTTGCTGTTGAAGTTGATTCGCTGGACTGCGCATGTTGAGATGAGAAAGCTGCGAAGATAGAAAGAAAGGTTTGTGGGTGAGCATAAGGTAAGTAGCAAGAAGAGCATTTAAAGATGAGATGGTAATGTAGCATGATTGAAGTTCGCTTCCTCAGCATGCCAGCGGGAGGAACTAAGCTCTGCTGGGAGTCTTTTTATCCCAGGATTGAGGCGCTGCGTCGCAGCTTCTAATCTTTCCAAGGGTTCATGCTTGTAGAATCTTTGGCAACACAAGATGCGGTCTTCTAGAGGTTGAAGCGGCTGTAAGAACGGATGTAATCGGGGTTGGATTAAAGGAGACCTACTTCAGGAAATGATTTCTTGCTCCACCATCGGAGCGTTTTTGATTCCTATCGGCCGTCTTACCCGCCCACCATGTGCGATGCGGCGCCGTGAGTGTCCAGATTTCCTCGCTGATTTCCTGGCCATGTCGGCCTTTTGCGCGCCTCAATCCCGGGGCAAAACCGGCGTTCTTGAGTGCGGCAGCCTCACATGCGCATTCCATTCCAGGCACCATTGCGGTTGGCGCATGCGCTCACCTCCCCAGACGCCGTCCTCTTGTCTCTCATCCAAAGAGTAGTCCATCAAGTCTTGTTTTCCCTCGCTGCTCTTTCGCCATCCAAAGCCATCGTAGCCTGATCATTCACACGTGCTTCGTGCTTCCAATGACCTCGCCGCGCACCTTGTTCCAGTCGATGCTCTCATCCAGCTCCTCGTCGACCAAGCCACACAGCGTGACGTTGTCGCCGCGGATCAGGTACAGGCCGTGCTGAATCTGCTGGCTGGGTTCCGGGTCGTCGGCCGGGCGGATGATGCGCTCCCAAGTGTCTTGAAGAACCAGGTTGGTCATTTGGTCGCAGGAGAGGAGCGTGCCAACGAGCGTGCGCGAGTCCGCTGTAATGATGAGGATTTTCTCTAGATGAGGGCGCGAAGGTTAGCAACTGTGTTTCTTGGGGTGTATTTGGGGCCACGGAAATGGCGCTCGTGAGTGAAGCTGTGCAATTGAGGGAAGAGCTGCTTACTGTTGACGTAGGACTGGAGGGACATGGCGGCGGTAGCTGTTGCAACGAAGGGCGACGCCGAGGCTGTGGTTGGGGTGCGGCAACTGCGATGGATACGCGGGGAGGGTGAGTCGGCGGCTCGATTAATGGAAAGACGTGCGAGAGTGAAAGCCGACCACAATTTGCAGACGCGGGGCAATTGGCTTGCGAGAGGATGTGATGAGAGATGCAGATGCGGTGTTGATGTCGGCGCATCTATCCAAGCTACCTCACCGCCCGGCATGCCGACTTTCGGCTACGGCAGATAGTCGGCTTCCCGTGCTGGTGGTCCCTGAGAGCTCTCAAACCCTTGCCCTTTCTATTTTGAAGTTGACCAAGACTCCCAGATATCAATTCACAAATATCATTCACAAATATGACCACGAGAGTGTATTTCCAGGTCGGACCATTTGAACTGTTGGCTTGGTGAATGCTAATGAAATTCCCATATCCACTACGAAGTGCTCCAGAACGCCCCGAAGATATAACCACTCAGCAGATGCTATGTGTATAATGCACCTGCCAGCCTCGAAGTAAAGGGAGACGGAAAGCTGCCCTGACCTTCCAATTTATGCTGCCAATCAACCACCCAACCACCAACCGTGCATAGCCAGCCATTCCATTGCAAATCAGACTTCTGATCATTTCGAGGTATCTTTCTACTCTGGAAAACGCCAAGGAGAGTCAAAGCAAAAGTGAGTAAAGGAGAGGCGTGAAGATGCACGTTTACGGAACGTAAAGCCTCGAGTACGCCGCGACGTCCGAACGGCAGCAGACGCACTTGTCGAAATTCCGAGTCGCGAGACCCAGTCTGCACTCATCGCACAGGCTGAGGCACCCACAAGGCCAGACCAGAATCGTCCGCGGGCTCGCCTGGCAAACAACGCATTGCGGCCCGCCCGATCCCATACCTTCGGCACCTGTCTCCCAGTCTCCACTGCTATTGCCCATCTGCCGCCGATGCTGTTGATGCTGAATCGTGGAACTGCGGCGTTCTAGAATGAAATGCTCGAGAGCACGCTCCTCGGCCTCTGGCGACGAGTGCCCCTCTCCCTGCGCCACCACAGCTGCCGAGCGTCGATAGCTGTGTGATGATGTGAGTAGACGGGCGTGGTCACGTTCAACAGACTTGCGGTACTGTGAGCGTGTCATGATGCCAGAGCTGCGCAGGTGCGAAGCCAGGAGCTGCGCGTCGTTGCGGTCGCTTTCGGTTTTTGGGTCAAGAAGCCGGGCCAAATGCGACGGGTCCATGGGATTGTCGGAAAAGGGGGTAGACTCGCGCGTGAATGGCGTAAGTTGGCGGGAAAAGTCAGCCTGTGTGGGTGTGCGGCGACCAGATGAGTCCGCATCAACATCAGACCAGTCCTGTTCATCTGCTTGAGATGCGGTAGTGGAAATAACACTCGTCGTGTCGTCCGCATCAGACGGTGCGACAGACGGCTCGTAATCACCGCTGTGGTCAAGTTCGCCCCACCAGCCCCCGTTCTTCCACCAGGAGTACAGATGAGAATTCAGACCTTCCTCCGTCAATTCTTCTCCAAAGTACTTCTGGCCATTGTGCTCAAGTCGACGTCTCGTCTCCATTTCCACATCAACATTGGGGTCCGCGGGCATAGTGAGTGACCCATCTGGCTTGAGATACCAGAAATCCAGCTGTCGGTAACGACTGCCTTCGGACTCGTGCGTTTCAGGGGACTTCCTGATGACAGCCTCACCCCCGGCCAGGCTGACAAGCCACATTGGCCGAAAGGCTATACCAACTTTTTCGAAAAAGGAGATGAGAAGCCTAGCCTGAATAGACGCCAGTAAGACGTGGATTCCCTTGATGAACTCAAAAGTCATCACCCATCGCCCACGACGTTGAAGTAGGCCAACTCCACTGTGCGTGGAACTTGCCTCCGGAAGTGTCTTTTGGCCCCGAGTCTTTCGCTCCCGAGCATACCCTGAGCGCAGGGAGCTTTCCCCGTGCAGAACGTCATTCGACTTGACTCCTTCTGCAACAAAATCCTCTCGAAGCTCAAGAGGGATTGTGTCTATGGTGCGTTGGTGTAGCGAGCGGAATCGTGAAAGCTCTTTGATGCGCTTTTCCTCCAGCCAAGTCAGCTCACTGACACGGATGCGGGTGCCTTCGTTTAGAAAGACGGCTTCGCTGGCAGCGGTCAGAACGGTAAATCCAACTTTGAGCATCGCAGTATAAAAGTCGTCTCGCCAGTTGATGCTAATGGGAGTGCTTCCAGAAAAGTGAACGTTGGCCTGGAGATTTCCATGTGCCGCCGTGAATCTTTGCTTGATTGAAAGCGGCTCGCCGTTCTGGGATTGCAAGCTGAGAGCGGTAAGAACCAGAGCAAGGCCGTAGATCACGGCGCATGCTGCAACTCCCAGTACAATCAGCATATGAGGGATGAATCCAACCAGGCATACTGTAGGAACGCGCAGGAAACCCAAGTCAGAAAGAGGGCCCGATTCGTTGGAAGTCGACTCGAGAATGTTGGTCATCCTTAGGAATGCCCATGAAAAAACAGCCATGTAAGCAAGCGCCCATATGCCCGTGTTGACAAGGCGGAAGCGCGACCTCATGTTGAATATGGCGAGAATGTTGCTGCTCAGATGGCCCAGGCAGGACACCAGTGACATGATGATGACTTCTGGGGGTACGTTGAGAATCTGCAAAAGCATTGACCGCGACAACTTCATCGACACGCCATCCGAGCGAGTGATTGAAGCTGTAGAGGAACCGAGGTCAAACGGCTTGGTCAACATGGTTTCCGTTTCCGAGTAAGCCAGCGAGTGTTCGAAAATGGTCATGCCAGTCTCAGGCATGGGCCTTCGACCCTGGAGAGCGCATGAGAACGTCTCGACAAATTGACTGAAGCAAAGGCTCAAGAACAAGGGCCAAAGCCGAGCCAAAGAGCCCGAAAGAGACAAAAACTCGGCTTCTGACGAGGCCATGTTGACTGCACTGCACGAGTCCAAATCGTCTTCCCAGTAAAGCAAATGGGATGCGACCTTGTAAACCAGTCCGCCCTCACCGGCCATGTCAACGGCAAGAGGCTGCTTCGCGTCATGATAGCGCAATTTTGACCATTGTGGCGATGTCTGGCATCGGAGAGCTTGCAGCAGACACTGCGTCTGGTATAGGAGTACGAGCACGGAAGGCAGATAGACGGCGAGGCGAACGCGCCAATTGAAGTTCAGCGGGGTTCGAGTTGAGGCGTAAAATTGGGTGCGGTTCAAGAGGATCGCCTACAAAGAGAGGTCAGCGCCAAGTGGGCAAACAGCAGTTGGCTGGTGATCTAGGACCCGAAGACAAACCACAGTGAAAGTCGCCAGCGCCCATTTCGAACTCATGTAACTAAAGATTCCGCCAGCTTTTCCCAGCCTCCATATGCTCTCTAGGCTGAAATAGCCCTCGGAGCCATCCAGAGACCTTCCAGCCGTTGCAGCAGCAGCCGACGCGCCCGGACCTGGAATAGCTGAGGCGCTCTGTATGAACTTTCCGACGGATGATGACGAGGTGATGTTCCTGGTGACATTTGCCGCGGTCGAGGTAGTCGCCTCTGCGATAACAGATCCGCCGCCGCTTATGGCCTTGCCAAACACGCCGTCCAATTGTTCGAGAGGATACATTGCGATTTGGCCGACTCGTCGAGCTGCCGTGGCCGCTTGCGGCAACGCCCCGAAAAAGTCCATGGCCAAGGGGTCAAAGCGACTTCGAAAGTGTATCCCTTGCCAGTCTTGTCGCGTCC